CATCACCCAAACGTGCCAGGGAGGAGGACATATGGAATTACCAAAACTTTCCCAGTTTGGCAGCCTGAGCACAGAATCTGTCCATCTGGTGTTTACTTAGCTTGTGAAAAAGAGACTTTTTTTTACATCTTGAGAAGAAGGAGCGTAAAAATATTTTGGTGGGTAGAGTGGCAAACAGCTTCCCATGAAATCCATTGAAATTAGTGGAAATATTTCTGTTGACTTCCCTGGGGTTCAGATTAGCTTTTTAATGCTTCTGTAGTAATTATTTTTTTTTTAACATAGTCATTTTTTGAAAATTATTGTTGTGATTCACTGGTTCTTTACTTGACACATGGAGCTGGTGATTGACACTGTGCTACTGTGCTTGGTACAAAGGCTAAACCAGAATGGTTTCTTTGGTATGTGTAGAGAGAAATAACTACAGCAAGCTACATCTCGACATGGTCTTTGCTGTCATGTGTTACGCCTTGCCTCCTGTCAATCCGTATTACAGAACCAGTGGTCCAACCAGCATTTTCAGAATTAGCTCAGGTCAGCTTTTCACTTACCAGTGGTAATGTACAAAGCAGCTGAAAATAGTTTGGGCTCTTATTTCTAGTCTCAACATATCTTGTTGTGGAAATGACCCAGTGTGGGATCAGTTCAGGTTTCTCAGCTTTATGTTGATGTGTCATTTGCTTTAGAAGTTCGGGTACCCTGGGGTGTTAAGCCAAGATCACAATCATTGGATCTGTCCAATGTTACTTTTTTGGTACTGGTTTCAGCTGCCACGAGTTCCAGCTGTAAATACACTTTTTCGTCTCTGCATCTTAATGTTTTCAAGTTTTGTATCTGAGAAGGGTACACTTAAGGACATGTCAAAACAAGTACCAGGGATTTGTTGACATTTTATCTCCACCTTTCCCATATTTTTGGATCTGATACCTGGATACTTCACACCTGAGCACATGTATCCATCAAGTTTTCTTTTAACAGTCCCTACTGTTGCACAACTGTGCTGTCCTGCCTCCTCTTGCATCACCACAATGCCACAACAGAGCCAGTTTGGAGAGACAAAAGACTTCAGAGAGATCAGAGCCCTATCTGTATCAGATAGACAGTGCAGTGTGTGCAGCATGCAGATTGTAGACAGATAGTCAAGGCCAGGCTTTCAAAGATGCTGAGCTTACTTGCATATTTGTAGCAGAGGTGTGGCTAATTTACTGATAACTGCAAACCAAAGATATGTGCTTGCTTTGTTTGCATCACCTTAATTGTCCTGCACACTTTTTGGTGTCTTGCTTATTTTCTCATGAATCTGTTGTCTGCCTCCATTCTGCAGGTGTCAAGTCCCATCGTCTTGACCTTTCCTTTCCCAAAGGACTATGCCAAAAGGAGTGTCTGGTGATCCACCACCTACTGTAGCTACGATTAACTGCCACACTCACCATGAGTTATTTTGCACCAGCAGATACTGAGTTGTGTGTTAAATTAGGTCCTAATTTCTCTACAGTGGTTGTGCCTTCAAAATGGGAGACGCTTCTAAAAATGAGGAGAGAGGCACATTTACACATCCATCACCTGTGAGTGACTTTGGATTGTGTCTTTAGGAGAGGAAGTACCCTGTTTTCCCACAGCTAAGGCACACAGCCTGCTTTGCAGGAGAATTATTTTTCAAGGGTGTTCTTCCTTTTAATAGTTTACAACCTTTAACTGCACATCCAGAGCTTTAGCTTCCTCTCCAAGCAGCTGCCTTGCCAAGGCATTTGAATTGTGACAGTTTCTGAGCTGGAATTTCCAATGTTTGAAACTAGGAACTGGGCTAAAACCATTCACCAGAAGCCTTTGAGTAGCAGTGATTTGTAGGAACTGTGAGCCTGGGACAAACATGAGTTCAGGTTCTTTGGGCAGAAGGGCTATTAAGTATAGCCAGCAAATATTCATATCACTTGATGACTTTTAAGGGAGCATTTAACACATAATGGCTGACAAACAACTGAGAGTAAGTCCTTCAAGAATGACCAAAAGGTTCTCCTTACGGTATGTTGTGTCACCAGATTCCATAGGTCTAACAAACAGTCCACAGTCATACTCCAAGGTGTGTAGCAATTTGCTTGACTTTTGGTGAACACTTAAAATATCACTCTCCCCTCTCTTTCTTTTCCTTTTCTTTTTTTTTCTAAACACCCTCCCACCCATTCAAACTCCTCAGGTAATTAATTGGAAACGACCCAGTTGCAATATTGTCAAAGGTCTGACTAACACCCATCAAACCCAGGAAACTCAGACCTCTTGAGCACTCCCCTGCTTACCTCGTGCTGTTGTGCTTAAGATATTACTGGGGTCTACAAAAGGTGCATGATCATGTGTACTGTACCATATGTCCACAAATACCAAGGCACAGCAGCATGAATTAAGGATAGGGTTTCAGCCTTCATAATGAAGAGTCTTGCTTTTATGAGTTCAAGTCAGACTCTTAACGTTATTTTAACATAGATTTTGCTGTTTAATTATGTAATAAGATTTACTGCAGTCATCTAACAGATGTTGATTCAGGGTCATTGTTTCTCATAAATTAGTTCTGAAAGGATTTGTTACTTCTGGGTCAGCAGATAGGTCCAGAGTGCAAAGAAAAAGGGGAAAAACAATAAACACTGAGTTGAAAGGTTTCTTGGGATTCTTTCTTCAGTTACATATCCACATATTTTCGTGATCTTAATGACTATAGCCACAGGAATGTTTGCTTTAACACTAAGGATGGCTCAGCCCAGAACCCTATATTCAAACATCTGCAAAGCATGGGAAAGTTCAAACTTCGGGGCTCTTTATTTTATGACCCTGTCCATTAATTTTTCATACTAATATGACACATTTTTCTAGGGCTCTGTAGTGGGAATCACTGTGAACTCTAGCAAGTCCCGAAAAAGCTTCATCTTCATGTGTTTGCTGTCAGACTTCATGTATGAAGTGCAGCCAAAGACCAGTGTTGGCTGATGTAGTTGTCACATATGTACAGTGAAAAGCTGCACCCACCTTCCTTTGAAAACTCATCCTTCCCCTGCCTTTTGAAGCAAATTATATTGGTACATCCTACTGCTAGACCTCTCTATAATACACCCTACTGGTGATGTTATCCGTAGTATGACTAAAACCACACAACATTATATTCATTCTTCTATAGTTGTGGTTAAAGGAACTATTCCATATTAAAATACTTTTCCTTTCCCTCTGTAATTTAGTTACAAATTCCTTTGAGACTGAAATCATACTCTCTATATCTTATTTTGCTGAGAATATTTTGGAGGAAACAGATTGAGGCACATTTAATAGTGCTGCTAGCACTTATAGGGTGGTTTTAGCCTGCTAAGTGTTTTACAAACACTGGTGAATATTCACAATATTCCCTCATTTGAGGGTACGAGAGACTGAGTGATCTTCCTGAGGCCGTGCGGGACGTTGCATCTAGAGGTGGAACAAGAACTGTTCCTTCGGCTCACGCTGACTGCTCAACCTATAAAACCATTTGCTGCACTTCATCGCCTTTGTCTTGGAAAGTTCAGGGGTTTTGTACCTAAAAAACTCCAAGATGAATCCCGGCCATTAGAAAGAGCTTTGAAGCATTTCCCTGAACAGCAGTCGCACGGTGGCAAACCATGAGCCCTGGACTGCTTGCAGCAGTAATTGCGAGAGGAGGAAGAGCCCGTGGCCAGCTGCTGAGTCCTGGCCAGCAAAGCAGCGCTGAACCTGCTCCCCGGGAGTGCCTGGGCAGAGCCCTGCTCCCGCTGCCCCGGCCCCGGCCCTGCCCCGGGGCCCTCACGAGGGCTGGCCCACGGCTGGACCCTGCAGGGCCTACCTTCAGACGGCACTTCCCAGGCTCGGGCTTGAAGCGCCTCTTTTCCAGGAGTAATTCCATTTATGTCAATGGATTTACACAATGGATTTACGGCTGCCAGAAGAGAATCAGGCCTGGAGAAAGACACACATTCTTTGCCAAGAAAATCTCAGAGCTAACTACTTGAATTGTGCAGTCGAGCTGCAGGGAGGTCAAGTGGACAGACAACAGGACTGGGACATACAGGAAGTCCCTGGTTCAAACCTCAGCTCTTAAAATGTCACGCAGTGTGACCTCTGGAGAGTCAGTTCATCCCCTTATACCTCTGTTACCCCATTTTCCTTTGTTCAACTTGTCTGTTTAACTTAAAATTTGTTCCGAGAAGGCTGCTTCACTTCATGTGTTGGGCTGGGGCACTGACACCTTGCCTCCCCCTTGCTGGAGGACAGTCCTGAAGTCTTTGTTTCTTCAGCACTGACCCTCAGCTTCAATATCCACAAGCAGTGTTACGTAAGACCATCAGCTGTCCATAGGAAGATGGGCAGACCTGTCACTTGAGGGATAACACACTGCCCTGACACTGTCTGGGAGGACTCTGCCGCTTGTTACTTCATGGTCAGGGTTGGGAGGGAGAAGAAGGTCCCCACCTTGAACATTTGCTTCACAGCCCTGATTGCTAAATATGCTTTAAAATGAAAGCTTTGACCCTTTGGAGCAGGGCTGTGAGCTTGTGATGAATTCAGCTGGCACCAAACGTGGGTCACCAGCATGAAAAGCCTCAAGAACTGGAATTGGTGTACACACGTGTGTGGGTATGTGTGTGCGTGTGTAATTTTCAGAAGCAGAGTCAGGCCAAGCAGCAGCACTCCTGACAAGCCCCATCTGTTTCTCTCAGCTCCCTCCCATAGCAGCGTGGTCATTATCAGTGGCAAATGTCCATAGTCACTTGTAAAGCATGAAGCTGCCAAAAATCATTAAAACACAACCGTCACCCACACCCTGTACCAGCCAGCTTTAAAACTGTTTCAGAGAGAGCCTGATAAACACATATATGCTTATAATAGCCCAGACAGAGTCACGTATTTCCTCCGTGCTTTAATGAACTGAACAACAGCACGGGATGCTGCAATCAGATATTCTTGCCCTTTTCTGTTGTGGCAACTCACAAGCTTGTTTGATGGTGAGGGGAAAGGGAACAAAGCAGGTGGCTAATGGGCTGTTTTTCTGTTTCAGTGGAGCATGACAGAGAGTTTCACCATCAGCGCTGCCACTACAGAGAGTTCAGGTTTGATCTCTCCAGAATCCCAGAGGGGGAAGCAGTGACGGCCGCCGAGTTCAGGATATACAAGGATTACATCCGCGAACGCTTCGATAACGAAACGTTCCAGATTAGTGTCTACCAGGTACTCCAGGAGCACCCGGGAAGGTGAGTGCCCCGCAGAGAAATCCCGATGAAAGTCACACAAGCATAGTCTCTTCCCTCAGAGAGTTATGTCCAACCCTTTTGGAAACAGTGGAGCCATCAGCAAAACTGTCTGCAGAGCTGGGATGAGGCAGAAGGTGTGGGATGAAGCCTCAGTCGATGCTAATGCTGTCCACGTATGGTCAGCCACCGAGGCGTGGGGGGAAGGTGTCCCCTGAGCCTCCCCGTGCCTCAGGGAGCACCCTCAGCACTGCGGCTACTGTCCCTGGGAGCACTCAGTAGCTGAGGAGCCAGTGAGCCTGGCCACGTGCTAGTGCAGGAAAGATCATAGGCTCAAGTATTTCAAGATTTCTGGAAGACCTCTCATCTCCCTCCTGCTGCTTATGGATCCTGAGGTGGTAAAACCACATCTGAATGCTTCCTTTCTAATTGCAGCTTAATTACTAGCCCTTATTACCAAAGGCATTCGAGATCCCTAATTAACAGACAACACCAGGCTTTTTATATTGACTGATTGTTTTGCATGTGCAAAACTACAAGATGAGCTATTAAATCCATTCCAAGCGATTATTAATGTATGCCAAGCTCCCTGACAGATCCTCCAGGGAACTTGAATAAGAACATATGTTCAATTTTGTCATCTGTTTTCAGTTCCAATTAATCAGCAATCCCAAACTATTTATCAAAGGCACTTAGTTTCATTTGCACATATTTCCTTTACATACAAATCCTACCAAAAGTGAGATCGTATTTATTTACCTGAAAAGTATTTACAGTCACATCCTAATCATAAGTTATTCTTTACAACTACTAAATATGGGGCAATAACACTACAGCCCTAATTTAGGTTTATGAAAAGAGAAACACCAGGGATTTAAAAACAGGAAAGTCCAAAAGGATAAGAAAAATACAGTGTAATCAGGACTCTTGCTTTATATTTTTATAAGAGCTAATAAAAATGCAGAAAAAAAAAATTGAAATATGACAGGAGACCTTATCAACATTTTTAAACCAGCTTTGCTTCATGGTAAAGGTGTTTAACCACTGGTGTGCTTTCTTCCACATCTGAAATTCTCATTTGATGGCTTAAAAATCATGGTTCTCTTGGAATTTCTAAAGAAACAATTACTTGCAGGGTTTGGGGACTATGCTAATATTAACCTATTTTTATCAAACAATGATAATTCAAACTATACATTTTAACCAGGCTTTCTTAAAGGAAGTAACAAGCCACAAATGTGCGTGGGACCCATTATATGTCCTGCTTATCATAAGCATTTACATTTATTCCATCTTAGGCCCTTCCAGGGATGGAAGCCTCCTTTTGCTGTACTTCTTGAGTAGGCTATTTAGGTACAAGCTTGCAGGGATGACTTTTCACTCTTGGGAAGTGCAGAAACAAGAGATGTGTTGGCAGGTGAGGAGGCCCTAACCAGTGTGCCAGGGCATTAGGGAACTGCCAGAAACCTGTTCTTGGAGTAAAGGTCTTTCCTCACCAGATGCCAGGGAAGTTCTTCAGGTCCTGAGGAGTGAGGTAGGTGCCCACTAGGAATCTTACTGACAGACTTAGGTTGACATTCATTAACTTAATTTTATGATGATACATCCACAGGTGTGTTAAAAGTACGTTTAGAGGGGGCTGCAAGGGACCCACTGGGGATAGGTACACGTGGAGCAGCAAGTGTTTCTGCAAACTGTCCCCTTCACAAACTCTTATTCCTAAGTGAAAAAAATATATCCAAAGGGCAGGCATATGCATGAACCACTAGCTGGAAGAGGTGAGAAATCTTGCTAATTATACAGATGTTCCAGCTACAAGATTAGATGCAATTTTACTGCATCATATTCACCACAGGACCACTATTTTTAGCGTTCCTTCATATTCACCCTTTGCATACATTTTGGCACAGGCAACGGTAAGTTTTTGAACAGTTCGTCCTGAAAAAATATTCCTGTTGGTTTGGATTGACCAAAGGTAAAAATATTGTCACTAACATTTGTAAAAATATTTGCTCTTTTTCTTCATTTTTCCACTGACATTTTCCAACCAGCTCTGTCACAGGCCAGTCATCCAAGTCAGTGTGTCATTGGGCAAGTGGAGAAAGAAAACAAACTCTCTCCACTGCTGATCAAAAAACACCCATTCACTTTGATGCTTCCTTGGCTGTTTGTCTCGTCCTGAGCAGCCTGGAAAGTCCGACCCATCTGACGTTGTTAGCAACAAGAGCAAAACAAAGCCAGACCCTGCCCCCACAAAGGCAAGAAAGCCAGTGCTCCCATTTAGCTCCGTAGGTTCCTCTCCCCAGATCACAGCAGATACAATGGCCAACAAAACCCCAGATGGTTTTCCCTCTCCCTTATGATGATAGAAGAGCAGTGGGATCTCCCAGGAGATTGCTGGAATTGCCTTTTGGGATCTGAAATGCCAGATGTTCTCCAGACCTGTGCTCTCAACACTGTGCACCTGATGGGTAAGTGCACCCAGGCACAGAAGCTCAGTGCCAGGCTCCCCAGGGCCAGCTGCAGCAGCATCTCTCCTTTATAAGAAACACAGCAGAGATCAGGACAGCTTCTAGGGCCAGAAAACCAGCATGAGATGCAGCTGGAACGTCCAAGCTGAGGCCAACTGGAGATTTTATCCTTTGAGGGTGAAGAGGCCATTGGATACACACCAAAGGCTTGGTGTTCAGTTGTGAACCTCAGGTGAGCCTCCAGTTTGGAGGGTGTGATGATGTGCCCTCAGTTCAAATAAGTCATAAGTACGAGCAGTTCAACAATTAATGACTTGCTTTACGAGTTCAGACAGGTTGGCAGGTATCTAACCAGCAACATCTCTTGTCTGCAATTTATTGTTGGTGAAAAACACAGGCATAGGTCTTTGCAGACAAACAGCTGCACCCACATCAGACTATTTCTGGAATCCTGCCCCTCAATACTACCAACACTTGAACACAGGGTGGAAGCTCTCATCCATCTGTCTGCTCAGGTCATGGGCAGAGAGACACCCAACAACCCTGGCAGTAAAAATAAGAGCCCAGCCCCATCCTTCAGAGCAGACAGGATGCCACTGGACTTCATCTAATAGAAATTATATCTCTGTCAGACTGAAGATCCTATTACAGGTGTTTACAGAAAACCAGAGTAAGTGATCAAATATTCTTTCTGGCCTTTCCAAACCTATGAATTCATTGCAAGGCAAGCTTCTCAAACTGGCTACATCTGCCTTGTAAAAAGGCATGTATAACATTCTTTAGGGACAAAGCATCAGTTATTCACTTCAAGCAAACAAGTACATTCATGAACAAAAATGTTCCTAATATCATAAACACTGTGGAAACAGCTGATGTTTTGACTAATATAACGTGTCTCAAAGCTTTCATTGCTTAACTTAAAGTCCAGTGACTCATGTCCAACTTCTGTTTGGTCTTCATGGTTCACTCACCCAAATGCCTGGGAAAGAGTTTTATTAAGCCAGAAACTGGCTTAGAAGGGTGTTGAGCGGCAGGACATCAAGTCCCTGTTTGTGGTTGCAAATGCTGCTAGTGGAACTGTGGGCTCCCCTCATGGAGCCAGGTGCTGCCCAAGCCCTCTCTCTCCTCCCTCCTGGGTGCTGTGGGAAAGCAAAGCACTTTCCAGTGCTAGGGAGCACACAACACAGGGCACAAGGCTTGCTACAAGGTGTTGAAGGTCATTTATCTCAGGCAGCTACACAGGGAACACATCAAAATAATGCTTATGGACATGAGCCTGAGAAAAATGACCTATGATACTTTTGCAGTGCAATCGTGAAATAGTTTGTGAACTACTTTGCAAAAGAATTTTCCCTTACCCTCAGACTCTCCACTGCTGTTGTAAGCAGTGGCCACAGCAAGAATTTCAAAGGGAGTTAAGAGTTGAAAACACAGGCAGGTATGGGGTGGGATTTCTGACAGCAGCTAAGTGGATTAGATACCTCACTCCTATTGCAACTGATTTGGAACTTGTGTATTTTCTGAACGCACCCATGCAGTTCTGGAGCAGGTTACCATTTGAGGCACCATCCTCAATTTCTTAACCTGAAGCTGCAGGAAAAACGTAGACTGTAGAGCTCCCCTCACCATCAGAGCTCGATCCTGCCCATACGTCTGCACCTTCAGAAGCTAAAATACCTTGTCCCAGAGTTACATCTCCAATTTCCCTGGACCCAGCACTTGCACTGTGGAGTAAATCCCAACTGCTTTGAAGTCGATGGGAGTTTTGTTACTGGAGAGAATAAAGCCAGGTACTTGACCAGCCTTTGGTAATTGAAATGTAGTTGCTACATGTTCACTTTGTGGCCATTATGGATTTCACAGGCTTCAAAGGCAGTGAATTATTTGAATGCTCATGTTACCAGCCCTACAGAAAAATAAGATCTTGCACGATGCATTCCGGGGTCTGACTTGCAGCTGGAACATTTTAGTTTGTGCTTCAGACTACACTACTTCTGCACCCAGCTCAAACCTGAGCCCCTCTCCAGACCCCTTTCTCCCGTTCATTGGAGTCTGTTTCCATGTTGTGGGTTGAAACATGTAATTCTAGTAACTAAGAAAGACTTGGGCCCACCCAACCCGTGAAACAGATGTGTCTTCTTTTTGGTGCTTTTTTAAGCACCAGAGTGACTGTTCTAGGGACGGTGCAGCAAAGAAGGTTATAGTTTGTTTTAATGTTGTGTCCCAGCACCGTGATGGTACCTGCAAGTACTAACAGCATCTAAAAAGATACTGACTACATCTTTGATTTTTTTTTTGTGTGACTTATCTGCAAGTCAGTTGATAACTGTACTTATGTCTTGGCAAGTAGAAAGGGGACTTTAGCTTGGCAATCCGATAGCTCTCCAGGAACAGAGCTGCATCTAGTGACTTCTTGCAGACCGTTCCTAAACGCCACTGCAGCCTACAAAACCTCTAACAAATCTTTTACTCACTTAGCAAGCCCCCTCCAGCAAACTGCAGTCCTGCTGTGGCTGTCCCTTCCATGGAGAAGACCCCAGGCTGTGTTGGGTTGGCAGGTCCTCCCCGGGGACTCAGGGAGGGTTTCCTCAGTGGGAAGGGAGAGGGAGGGCTGAGCAGGGGACCTCAGGCACGAGGGGAAGGGAAGGTGTGGGAGGAGGGCTGCATCAGCTCTGTGCACAGAGGGTGTTGCAAACGTGCCAGGGAGAGGCCCAGGGAGATCCTGGGGCGCTCTTAAAGTAGGAAAGTCTGAAAAATATTTTCCTAAGCTTGTCTTTGGACAGCTGTGTCCGACCTTAGTCAATGACACCAAGCAAACTGGAATCTAGATGCTGCATTTTTTTAATCCAAACAGATGTCTTCTAATACCAGATCTCCTCTCACCCTCTCAGTCTGCCTTTTCTGCCATTGCCTTCCACCTGCTCAAACCTGGACGTGAACTGTCCCTATCTTCCCATGCCAGGTCCATCCTGTTAGTCAACTTGCTATCTTACACCATTCCTGTGACCCAAACAGCCCCTCTGGGGTTAAAATACCAGTCAAGAGGATAGGATTATGCTCCTGGTTTAGTAGCTGTTGTTTACATGCTGAGTCAGTAAGACATTTAACATACCTGTGCCCCAAGTGTTTGCCACTTAAAAACAGAAATGAGAGGGTTGACCTATATTTGAAAAGCCATTTAAAGTCTCTTGCACGTTGTCACAATATGGTTATTGTTTAAAACACTGTTAGATCTCCAGTTCCTGAAACTAGCAGGTAGGGGTTAGAGCATTGCAGCTGCCGAGCAACCTCATTGTACAGTTTGGGCTGGCAGATTACCTAACGAAGGCAGGGGACTGCAGAACCTGGTAGTGGTGGCCCTGGGCTGGCTGCTGCCAGGACACAGCCAGGTGCTCCCACCACAGAGCTCCAGCAAGTCACAGCGATCAGCTTGTCTTGCAATGTAATGAAAGTTGCTGAGAGTCACCTTCAGTGCTGCTGCCTCTCCTTCTTCCCATTTATTTTTATCCCACTTGGAAGTGCTCATTAGTGTTTACTGCCACTTGTCAAACAGCAGCTTGAAATAACAGAGCTGACGGGGGGATGGGGAGAGTGAAGAAGACAGAAAAACAGGCTGTTTGGTACAACGGTACCCCGGAGCAGCGCAGTCCTTGCAGCGTTATGGTTTATGAATGCAGAGTTCCATCTCCTGTTCTACTCTTGCTACACAGAATTGTCAGCTCTTACATTTTCACTGACCCTCTCTCATTAGTCCATGTTCTTCCTTGTGCCCCAGCTCCACAAGGCAGGTGATCAGGGGACATGCTGCACTCCTGACTCTTGGGTACGTTTCTAGTGTTTATGGCTTCAAACCAAAATGTAACCTAGAGGCTGAAAAAATACCCAAGCAAAAGGCAAAGAGCCCATACATATTTTCATAAAGCTTCATGGTTGTTAATTCTTTATCTTATTTCAGAATTACAGCACTGCAACATGGTAACTCTCTTCCTTACTGTTTCTTTTCAGGATACTCTTGCCTTTTTTATATTTTTTTCCTACTCTCATTTCTTCACTCATCCTCACAAACCTCACTTCTTCCAGTCCGTTCCTCTTCCACTAATCACCTGTGATTCCTTTTCTTACCCGACTTGTACCACCAGCCCTCCACAGTCTTTTGGCAGCTTCAGCCCTTCCGCCTCCATAACTCCAGCTGCTTTCCAGACACGATGTCACATGCATTCTCCTCAGCCACCCTCACTTTGCAATAATTGTTACTCACACTTGCGCCCACAAAACAAGTTCACTAAGGAAATTTCTTAGACCACACGCTAGTTATACGACCTGTAGACAAAGTTTTGGGAGTGCTTTCTAATGGGAGGAGACTCTTCTTTCTGGCATCCAGTGCCAGACACTACCAAAGTAATTAGTAGGCAAGTGCCAACCTCCTGTCCTCATCCTAGGCTCCACTGACAGCCTGATGCTTGAGAGAACTGAGCTGAAAGCCCTGAGTTTTATCATTGCTAAAGGCTTTGACGCTCCTGCTGATGCCAGCACTTTGCACACTGAGCCATTTTGATGTGGTCTCGACAAAACATACTTGTGGTCTGGATCCAGTCTTCGTAATTTATGTAACTCTAATCTAGACATCAACATTTCCATGTCCCAGCTTAATTTTCTGTAAAATGAGGATCATGTGCCTTTTCCTATCACTTGGTCTGGTAAGAGGTTCAATGTAGGTGCCTCACATGCTCTGAAGCTCACAAGTGAAGGGATTGAATGCAGGATCAAGGAACCAAAGTGCTTTTCTGACTCCTGGTTGCAGAGCCATTATGCACATCACTCCAAGATATTTGTACAGTTGGTAGGTAAGGTACCAGAGGGTGAGATGTGCACTAGAAACCTTTTCCTTTTCTGGGTCTTTATCTCAAAGCTAAACCCCAAACCAGTTAGATTAGTTAGATTTAAGTAGCACTATCTCATATGACAAGTTATTAGATGGGAACCCTCAGAGCAAATTTTAAGTCTAAGCAAAGGAACACTTATTTGCCATGTTTATTACATCTGGTCTAGCAGTGATGCCTAAAGGGCTTCCTAGCTATTAGCTAGTGATTTAACACCGTTTGCTGTAAGTCTTTGGAGAGCAGGGCATTTCACACAAAGGGAAGTTGTTCTTTTAAAAAGAACAAGAGAAGGTTGGTGGTTTGGTTTTTTTTGTTTTTTTTTTCTTTTTTTTTTTTTCCCCCATCAGACAGGTACTACAATCTCAGGAGCCTCTGCTTGCAACACCAGGCAGGTTTTGCATCCCATACTTGGCTGCTGCTGGTGGTCCGAGTAGAAAGCACTAATCCAGGAGTGCTTGAGGTTCTCTGTGGAGCATCTGACACAGGGCCTTTTGAGGTCCAAATGTTCCAAGTGTGTGTGGGAAGGACATTTCCCCTTAGTGGGTCCCTTTGATCTCTTCTCACTTTGGGCTTCCCCTCCAGGCCTATTGTTTGCACATTGCTGTAACTACAGGAAAACAAACGCATTATACAATTTCCCAGACTGACTCACCCTGGTACTTGATGCCTCATGTTGTCTGGTTACCCCGATTGCATCACGTCAGCATGGGAAGCTTAAAGGCTGGTTTTTCTGAGTAATCATACTGCAGTTGAGGAGTAGCTAAACCCATAAAAAGTTATCATTATTCCTATTACCTGCAAACTACAAGGGAGAAAACCCAAACAAGCCAAGTCCCTGTTAAGTAAACCTTGTGTGAATCATGAGTTCCAGTCAGGGGCCATGCTTAAATGATGCAGTATGTGAATATAAAAACCCTTTACTTCTGGAAACTTGGACTCAGCCATTGGGACGGGCCAATCCGCACTACTCCCTCGTCCCTGGCTCCTCTGGGATGGGTCTTGTCCAGCGTGTTGTAAACAGGGAAGGGTAGGAGTTGTCCACATGGCTGGGTCATGCACTGTGGGAACAGGGCCCTTGCTTCTGGGTGGGGATGAAGCCCCAGGAAATTTGTTCCCCCAGTTAGAGTTCAAGCATCTCACATTCCTGTAGCTAATGTGTATGTGGAGGGGAGGGGGTTATCTAGACTGTTTATCTTCAGCTATCCTGGGTGCACCCAGCAAAGCTGACTGAGCTCCAGAGAGCAGCTCCTAACAGCTGGGTTGACCCTCTCCATTGCTGCACCACAGCCCCTTCCTAATTCCAGAAGTTTAATTTCATGTAAGCCAGTGACATCTATTAGCTCACAGGGGAAAGTCATCGTCTCTTCTATGCTCCGGCCCACAAAGGTGGAAGGGAAAGCTAGGTAGTAAAAACACTGCAATAAAACTCCATTTCTGGTTTGAGTCAGCTGTGTGGGACAAAAGCCTCTAATTTCCTGGTATTTCACAGGGAAAAGAGTCAGTGAAAGCTACAAGACAAAAGCTACTGTGCTGAAAGTACGTCTCAGATACATTTTTGATCGCTTGATATTTGGTGCAAGCAAAAGCCACTGTATGAACTAAGCTAAATATATATATTTACACTGACAAATCAATACTAACAAAATTAATGAGGCCTTCTTTAAGCTTTGAGGACATGATTAAAGGGTATTCCAAGGATATTTCTTAATTCAGAAGGTTATAATTACACTTAAACAAGTTACTATGTTTATGCACTGTAAGTACAAAAGCAGCTCTTATGGGACTTGTCTAGACACTTCCACCGTGTTTCTTTGTTCTTCTTGTAAAGTCATTTTTTATAAAGGAACTGCACCACTAACCTATTTTTCAGCCAAGCTTTATATCTTTCCTAATTTCTGATAAGAGAAGATTCCTTTCTTTACAGAACCTGTGTTTTCTCAAATTTTCATTTAACAGAAATTTGCCAGGAAAGGTTTTTGTAAATCCAGAGGGAGTCTATCCTTTTCAGATACACAAAATCCTCTTTATTTTAGATCCTCCTAATTTTCTGCTATTAGTTCTTCAACTAGAATAACTGAGCCTTTAAAAAAATAAAGCAACAAATTGAAAGAAAATTGCCACCCAAAATACCCACCACTGTGCAGAGGATTATTACCTCAATCAGTTATCTGTAATCTCAGGCAAACAAATGTAAAAAACCATTACATATATGCACACCAGTGTTCCCGCTGGCTTGTACCAAAGCTACAATTATACATAAAAGTCAGGAAATAACGTGTGGAAAGGATAAAGAGCAGCATTGTCTGCCCAATTACCAAGTTTGCATATGCAAACAATGATTTTGCAAATCTGTGCCTGGCAAGTGTTTTTTCTGAAGTATCAGCAGCTTTAAGGTTACATGTAACAGCAAAGTAACCCAAAAACCACCTCAACTCTGCTTCAACCCATCCTCCCTTTTTTGAAGTGAAGAAAAGTGCTTCATCTGAAGGTGATGAGAGGGGAAAACACCAGCCCAGCTCCAGCAAAATCTGCCTGTCACTGAAAGGCTGACCAAGTGCACAGCATAAAGCACGTGTGTGGATGCCCACAGAGGCTCCAGGGGAACGCCTGGGTAACTGGGAATTGCCCTTTTCTTCTTTTTCCAGGGATTCCAATTTGTTCCTGCTCGACTCTCGAACAATCTGGGCTGCAGAGGAAGGGTGGCTGGTGTTTGACATTACTGCAACCAGTAATCACTGGGTGGTGAATCCCCAACACAACCTTGGCCTGCAGCTCTCCGTGGAAGGCATCGATGGTGAGTCTCAGACACCCACGTCAGTCTGTGAGTCCCCATCTCAGGTACACGACTCCCAGCCTGGGGAAGCATTTAGTACTCCTTCCTTAGAATAGCGTTTCTTAAGCATGTTTTTCCTGAATTTGCCTAGGGTGGAAATAATAAAACAATCTATAGATATATTTTGGGTTAAGGATGTACTCAAAGGCTTTAACAGGGTGGTAATGTGTCTGCAGTCATTTCAGTTTTAGCTGTGTACACTTCCCCATCTGCTGCTGGCTAATTTGCAGGCAGTGCAGTCCTGTTAAGGGGAGAGGAAGAAACTTTGCTATGTGCAAAAAGACACAACTGAGTGATGTAGAAGGCTGGTGTTAATTGGCACAAAGTCCTTTCAAATTCAGAAAACAGCTCAGAACCCTTTTCATTTCCTTTGTGGCAGTAGAACTGACTAGTAAAGTCATGCTAGGGTCTGGACTCCAAGGTCTTCAGTGTGCTTATGGTACAAATTTGTGAGATTTGGAATGGGTGGGAAGAGCTCTGAAACATCTCCAGAAAGGATGTTTAGAATCAGGTGGGGGATTTTCTTAACCAAGAGCTAACTAAAAAGTCACACTGCTTTGTCTTAAAGTTAAGATTCCTGATGTTTACTTGGAGACTTGTGCCAGGAAACAAAAGCATCCTGGGTCTTCTGGGGTCTTCCCAGGACCTGGGACCATCTGGAACTGCCTGGCTTCCTCACAGGAGACGTTAAGCAAAACCCAGCTCAAAACTATTACAAACACTCTGTAGTTATTTAAGGACATACTCCAGATAAGCATCTATGATATCACTTGCTATTGGTTTTTACGCAACTCTGAACATTTCCAGTCGGTAGTATTTTGCATAAAGACTGTGCACAGCAGTTTCAAAGGTGGCAACCTACAGAAAGTCTTTTACTTGAAAGGGTGATTTTACTTATGTGAGACCTGCACACAGTGAAGTGACAGAGGGTTTGTTTTAATCTCCCCTGAGCAATCGGTGAATACAGACACCCAAACACAGATACAAAGCAGGAGCTGCACCATGGAAGTTACTAGTCCCCACCCCAACGACAGACACCTTTTGCCATACTCATATAAGGATTCAAATTCATCCTGAATTACAAGTTAATCTTAACTCTTAAAGTTAAAACAGTAAGGCAAATTAACAGCCAAGACATGCTTAACCCATTTTCAAACACCTGTCCTTGTTTTTAGTTTCCAGCTTACCTCCTAAATGAAATACTTTGAATTACAGAACTAGTGTCCACAACCATGGCACATTCACTCAGTTGTGGTTCACATATAGGAAAACAATCAAGATCCAGTTCAGAGTCCACAGAAAAGTGATAGCTGGAAGTAGATTTAATATCTCTAAACACTATGGATCCCTCACCTAGTGACTTTACAGCAAAAATCAGTCCTGGTTTTCAGCATCAAGGTGGAAGGCAGCTGATTCATGAATGTTACAGATTTCAGTTGACACTTTTCAGGATCCTGCATCCAAGGAAAGGCCACAACTGTGCACACATTTACAGTAACTCTGCTCTGCTGGAGCAGTTAGAAGTGGACCCTTAAAGGCATACAGCCAGATGTGTTGGGGAGGGAGCTTTCAGAGACAGAAATTCACAGGTTCAATGCTAAGTGCATTCTCATCTGTTATTCGACTCAATGAAAATTAGGAATCTGTTTTCTTATTGCACTTTTGAGAAATTTAGCTGACCTTGTATATTATTTCAGTCCTTTGCTAAGTAACGTGCTGCTGTCTTGAAACAGATTAACGAAATACCTTAATCAGCCTGTCATTAAAGGTAGAAAACCAACAGCAGTATTAGAAAGTAAATACAGAGATACAGGACCCAGTTGTCTGCTTGTCTTCTGTAACCAAGTTCCCTGGCAACACACCTTTGCATCCACATTTCTCCACAATACATGTGAATTTTTCTTTCTATTTGAATGGCAAGGACATGTCCTTCCTTGCTCCCACAGTTTGATTTTGGACTTAGACCAACTGTGTGTGCTAACAAGAAAGCTTCTGTTACACCTGGACTTCATATGGAAATCTTATGCTGCAAACACAGCAGGATTTTGATTCAACACTATATGCTTGAGCAATCCCCAAAGCTTTAAGTGAATTAGAAACTAAACCAACTTTTCTTTGTATCTGTCATTACATACAGCAATCTGTAATCATCATGAGCGCTGTCCAGATGAAAAAATATAAAAGAAATTAATTTAACTGATCTTTATATTTTTCTAATCTTGCCAAATAAGTCTATCAACATGTATAACTAGATGGAATCAAAGAGTATTTGTTTACTCTTAGAAAATGGAGATCAACTCAAGCAGCAGGCAGAAGAACTCTTTGAGTGACTCAGTAGCCTTCAGCAAGCTCTCAGGGGAACAGCAGCTGCCCAGTTAGGTTTACTTAGTTTGTTACTTAAGATCCCATTTTTGATAGTATTAAAAGAAGCAGCTTGATAAAGGCAGATAAAGCTGTGCCCTCTGGGCCAAGAGCACAGCTTTAGTTCTTTTGGGGAGGTTTATCCCTGTATAATGGTGACTACACACGTCCTTGTGGTTAACCTTGCTTTCTTGACGTATAGGAAAGTTAAAAAGTGGATTTTTCCCATCTTTATTAAGAGGAAATATGCTACTTTGCATGCAGAGCATTTTTTTCCCCTAAGGAAACACTGCCACCATGCTGGTCTTGAATGTGACAAGTTGGTTTTACATGAGGAAGTCATGGGTCAAATGCTACTTACTGCTGCACTCATGCAGCTCCACTAAAGATACCAGTGTGAAGCTGGGTGCCCTCACTGCATGCTGCTGACATACTCTCTAGAGATATGGTAAAGGTAAAATAATTTACACTGGAAAAACCACAGCTGTAGCTGCACTTGCTCATTTAAACAGCTTTGGGAAGCAGAAAGCTTCTTCGAAGGAGCAGGAAAAGCCATAGAGGCAGTGTTCAGTGAGCTCTGACTCCTGCAGCTGAGCTTGTTGTCAGGAAATTCTTCCATCAGGCGAAGCCTGAGCACCAGTGGAACCCCTTACTCTTTAGCATTAGCTACTTGCTTAAGCACTACGTGGGCTCAGCCTCAAATGTTTAAAATGAGAACTGTTTGAGCCAGTTTCTGGAAAGTGGATTAAGCAGAAGGTGAAGTTGTTGATGTTTGTCCATATATAAATCTATTTACATCAGTTTTTGCATTTACTGGTTTTGCCCAAGCTCTCCAGGGCCCTGTCCTGAGATTAGTTTTATGTAGTTTGCAAGGCTTGGCCATAGGGGGTGGCTGTCCTGCTGCCAAGCTCCCATTCAGAATTCAGACCCCTCTTGAGCCAGTCCTCTCCACAAATCCCATAGATTGCCACTTGGGACTTGCTTGCTGGGCTGCAAACTTTTAGGAAAAACAGAAAAGGGACTCTAGCTGATGCTGGTCCATTTCTTGGCCTCAAGCCATGGCCCCTTTTCTGGGTCTGTCACATTTACCAGTCTTTTGGCCCTGGGCAAGAGCAAAGATGGAAACAATTCCATAATTCAAACAATTCCATAAAGACAATAATTCATGAGCCTTGACATTTACTTTACTCATCTTAAAACCAACAGCTATTGAATATTACCTAGAAATATTTCAGGTTAACAGCTTCTTTTCACAAAGTAGTCAGAAAATAGTAAGAAGAGGACATTTTCAGTGGTCTGTAGAGCCCCATGCCTGCTCTCCCTGGCCAGACAGCCTTTCAGGGCTTCTCTAGGCAAGTGTCAGCTGTCCTTTGGTGTATTGGGTTGGTGGCTCACAAGGACTGGCTCTGTCCTTGGCAAAGGGATCACAGAAGCCATTAATACAACTCTGCCTTAGCAGCAGTACTCAGTAGCTTGGAACAGAGTAATTCTGGAAATCACCCCTGTATTTCACAGCAGCACCCACATGTCCTTTGGAGGAGACAAGAAGAAATACTAACTTTTGCACTGCCACCCCCTCCTTATGTATTTTATGATCAATTTAATCCTACAGAGAAAGCACCTAATCATCTTTTACAAAAAATAAATGAGTTTAAAAGCCCAGATGAAGGAAACATGAACAATAATCAACAGCTTGGCAACAAAGTTACCAGGTACAGTAGTGCTGAGATAGATACAGAAATAAGCAAAACATCTCCTAAGATCTGAACCATTTGTTTCTGTCAGCTACAGTATATCTGGAACTCTGTCAACATTTCATATGAGGCATTTTTATTTTAAGTTAATAACCTTCCAGTGGGAATTTAGTGTTCCTATGGGCTGAGTTTTATGGTTCCTTTTATAGGATCACTTCAAATTATAGGTTGGTGAACTTAAAGAAACCCCTCTAAAGAATGCAGGAAAAAAGTTAATGCTAAGCGGATTTAGGGTAAAATAATTATGTGTATGGCTATTTTATATAACCTTTATGCACAGATATGAAATGAAGCTGGCTGTGCCCATCTGTTCACGTCAGAAGCAGCTTTGCTGATGGAGCCGAGGCTCTTGGTGGATCAATGGGTACAGACGTGCTTGGGAATCACCCTCGCAGCAGCTCTCCCGTGTCTGCTGGAAATGCAGAGTTCCTGCAGGCCCTCTCATCCCCCCATTCCTTCCCTAAGGGCAAAGCATCAACCCCAAGCTGGCGGGGCTCATCGGGAGGCACGGCCCGCAGAACAAGCAGCCGTTCACAGTCGCCTTCTTCAAGGCCACCGAGGTCCATCTCCGCAGCATCCGCTCCACAGGGGGGAAGCAGAGGAGCCAGAACCGCTCGAAGCCACCCAAGAACCAGGAAGCTTTCCGGGTGTCGAACGTGGCAGGTACAGCTCGGGCGCCTGGGCCCCTGTTTCTGGGCGTGGGGTGACCTGGGAACGGGTTCTTCCGTACTCAGTCTGTGTGTTGACTCTTTGGTCTACTTCTAGTGGTCAGTTGCTGGTTTGAAACTATTAGGGATGATTCCAAAACAGTTCAAAAAATAATGTTTCTTTGAAACAAATTTTAAACTGAGGGATTTCTTAATCCAATTTAAAAATAAACATTTTTAAAAGCACCTCATCAGAAATCCCCTTTTCTCCCACATGAAGTCAAATCAATTCTCATTTTGAAATAAGATAATTACATTAAAGCAATAAGCAGGTGACCAAAATGATATTATAGTTCAGTGAATCTGAATCAAAATATTGTAGATTTTCAGAATTTGTGATTTTAAGTTTAGCTTCCAAAAAAAATGTGCTAGTCCCAGAAGTTTTGCACAGAGTAGGAAAGCCCACTTGTTGCTCAGGATAACCACAGCTATTTTGGAGGGAGCTGTGCTTCCTAATATGGGAGAAAACTCCGTCAGGCATCTGAAATGGAAACATGGCTTAATTATGAGATAGCTCAGAATAACGGGTCCTTGGTGACCTTCCCAGCAGGAACCAGAGTGCAGGGCTAGCTCTGCTGAGGGCAGTGGCAAATTCCAGCTCTACTTCTGTGAGTGCTTCACTGAATGGAAGGAGAACTTGCAAGAGGTGGGAGAAGAGGATGATGTAGGGCACAGTATCATCTTATGCAGCTCACTTGTGCTGTGGGTCACATGGGGTCACCTGCAAGGCTATAGGAGAACTCTCTCCCAGTCTTGTTGCAGCTTCCATATATTTAATCAGGTCATTCCTGTCTGAGAACTAATCATGTTTTTTGCAGGCCAGGTGATAGGTGGGGTTTCTCTGACCTGCCCACATGCACCTATTTCTGTACCTCTCCCCCAAAATCCAAGAGTCTCTTAAAATGGTTTTCCATGGCGTTTGTTTCCAAGCTCTGGGTGTTGCAGTTCCCCAAGCGTAGATGGGCAGCAGTTTAAGTGTACATTTTTATCCTTCGTTGGTTATATCAATTCCATTTTTAAGGGATGGGTAGTGGACAAAAGAATTTCTTAATCTGTGAGTGGGTTAGAATCCTTGGGGGTCCCCACGCTGAGTTAGCTTCCAAGTGTTTCAACAAGTGTTGAAAAAATATTTTCTGGTACTTCTTGGGTCTCCAGCTGAGGCTGTATGTCCAAGATGGACACAAAAACCATACTGATAGTCATGGTTGTTCAGCTCCACCATCCAGACCCAGGCTTTCTTCACTGGCTTCAGCACTGTTGCCCCTTGTGGGAAGTCTGGAACCTGGATCCAGCTGCACTGGACAGAAGGACCAATGCCACATTATCTTAATATCATATGTTCCTTTTTGTAGGCCTGAAGGTGCAACTATAACCTTTATTATTGCAGGTGATTCAAAGGAATTTAGAAAATAAGTAAAGGGTGCCTTTACCTATCGCTCCTTTCACAGGTTCTCTTTTTATATAGTAGGCAGTAATCAGATAGATCCCCTGTTTGCTAATACGAGGTCAGAGGAAGCCCAAGACAACAAAAAAAGGAAAAAAAAAAAAAAAAGAAAGCTCTTTTCCCAAGCCTTTTTTGGATTTTTGCACAAAAAGTCAGAGGAGTATTTCATATGTCTTTAACCTAACCATTATTTTATGACTAAAACTGAAAATGTTTTAAAAAAAAAAGCTCCCAGTGCCCCAGAGAGGGGCAGCGATGGCTCAGCCCCTGCTGGGCACTGCTGGGCACGCAGCAAGCCTTACAGGCACTCCTTCTCCCCTGGCAGAGAACAGCAGCAGCGACCAGCGACAAGCCTGCAAGAAGCACGAGCTCTACGTCAGCTTCAGGGACCTGGGGTGGCAGGTAAGGGCTGTGCAGGGCCGGGCTGGGACCCGGGCTGCCTTGGCACATCACTCCTCAAGCTGCAATACTGAGATCAAGCCAATAACTGGATTTTTTTTTTTTTTTCCCTGAGAGGAAAAAGTCATATATTGCCTTTAGCCTGCTTCAGAATTGCTTCTGTGGAGTTACGTGTACAGAAATCTAGCATGAAAACTGGCTACAAACTCAAGACACTTGGGTCCTTTTGAGAGACTCTGGCCCTGAATTTCCTCTGGCAGTGCTGGATGCACATACAGCTCTCCCATTTTCATCTATTAGTTCTTTTAGACCTGGTTAAAGACATTTTCATTTCTGAAAGCTTGTACCTGCATTTCAGTGGTGAGTGAGGTGACCCTTGTGAACAGCCAGGAGGAAGATGCTGAATGTATAAACAGCTAAACCCTGAAATTCAGCTACATTATGGGCACATTTTCAAAGTGAAATCAGTCTCTCCAGGAAAAGCAGTAGCTGTAGAGGTGTAGAAGATACCACTGCAAAGGCCAGTGTACCAGATTTTTATTTTGTAGGTCACTGTAATTGCATGTGGATGTATTAATTGATAGATTCATGTGCTGTTTTTGTTTCACTGCACAATATTTGTGTCTTTCTTTGCAATCTAACAACTTCCATTCATTGAAGGACTGGATCATCGCTCCAGAGGGCTACGCTGCCTATTACTGTGAAGGAGAATGTGCTTTCCCATTGAATTCATACATGAATGCTACAAATCATGCCATTGTACAGACACTGGTAGGTGCACTGTTCCTCCTAGTACACAGTTCTAGCTGATAGGTGCTGCTCAGAAATAAGTCTATACACAAAAAAAAAAATCTCTAAGCGAACAAGAGAAGGAAGGTCTGCATTAGCTTATTAAGTTGCCTGCAGCATCTGGCTTAACATGTCTAGCCAAGTGGCCTGAATTAATAGTTGGCTAGGAATTACCCTGTCTTTGCTGCAAGCATTGACATGCTCTCTCTAGTTTAAAAGGGCCCAATGATAGACATCGTAATGGTGGTATAGTCCCACTGCATGGGGAGGGAAGAGCGGGATGCGAGACCCACTCTCTTGGAAAAACTCAGTCAGGATCCACTGTATGCTGCCACCAAAAGCAGATGTGGGGGCAGGCTGAGGAAGGGGTCAGTGAGTCCCAGAATCACACAGCCCAGCTGCTCAGTGGGTGTATTATTTTTATGAAATTGTGCAATGTCCACATGGGAGCCCCGAGCTGGCATGTGCTCGTGACACAGCGCCTGTGCGCAGGGGACCATTGTGCCAATGCACCACAGCTCTTGGCCTGAGCCCGAGGATACACTGGTCCCGAGTGCCAGCTATGCAGCCTGCCCAGCTCACGGGCCAGAACACCCTCCCCTCCCCAGCTCGGGTCCCTCTGAGCAGCCCAGGCCCCCTGCACACGCCGGCAGGGCACAGGGAGGCTCACTCCACCCTCTCATCCCTGTCCCGTGTCCTGTGCACATCCAAGGACAACATTACAAAAAGTGGTAGGGAAAAAAGCAGCATCCACGTTTCCAAGAGAATAAATCTTTGCATGTTTCTCTCCTGGCAGATTGCCTTTTCTTTGCTTTCTCCCCCCCCTCTCCTCAGAGGTCCCAGATCAGGGAACACAGGGGAGCCGGAGCCCTTGGCCCCAGCTGGGTCTCGGTGCTGCCAGCCACAGGGAGAGGGGCCCCTGCCCAGGGCTTATGCGATTCCTCACAAAACCTCACCCCCATGCCCCACAGGGCCTATTGTAACTGGTACACTTCTGCAGAACACTGGCTGCTCTGACAAAGGGGAATTCTCTAATGAAAACCTGCCTCACTGAAAGATTTCCAGCGCGGCCCGACTCGGGTGCGTGCGTCGGCCTCGGCACACGCAGGGGACATCTCAAGACGTTTGTACACAAAGCCAGGTGTTCAAAACATGTCTGAGTGAGTGTGTGGGACAGACAGAAGGTTGCCTGGGAAAGAAAAACATGTGGGAGGAGAGGGGAAAAGTAAATCTTAACGTGCTTCTACTTTCATTCCCCAGGTTCACTTTATAAACCCAGAGACTGTGCCGAAACCCTGCTGTGCTCCTACACAACTGAATGCCATCTCAGTGCTCTATTTCGATGACAGCTCCAATGTTATCTTAAAAAAATACAGGAATATGGTGGTACGAGCATGTGGCTGTCATTAGATTTGTAGGAAAGAAAAAAAAGTTATTTGTGGAGAGTGGTTTTGTACAGCAACGTGGGGGAGGGGAAAAGGTTAGCACTCCAGCAATGGGTTTAAAAAATCCCAAACAGTTTTTAGGACTGGGCTTCTGAAAGTTCAGACAATGGAACAGTTTCTGGATCTAAGTGGCATTTGAACACATTTTGTTTTAGTTTATTACAGACAATGAGCTTGTAAACTGAAACAAGCCAGAGAAACCATTTAAAACTAAATCTGCCTACAAAATTGGCTCCTACAATACATACTTTTGCAAATGAGTCTTTCTGAAGGTTGCAAACTCACCCGTGTTGATTGCGAGTTAAAAAATAATAATCTACCCAAGGTGAGAATGTGCTGTGACTAATAAGCATGTGTAGTGCCTGTAACACAGTTTGCAATAAAATAAGTGAACAAAATATACCTGGAGTGAACAGGTATTTTGTTAGAGAATTATTATTTCCATCCCTCTGTTTGCTTCAATTTCATGAGCAAAACCAAAGATTAATTCCATGCAATGTTCAGTTTTCACTCTAGTAGCAAAAGCTGTATCTGGATTGATGCAAATCCAAAGGACAGATCAGTCTAAGAAAAAAAAAAAAACCTCCAATTGGCAAGCAAAAAATCTTAAAGAAAATCATTCCAAAGAGCAAGTCTTTTTGAGTATACTTTTTCCAGTCATCAGAGAAGGAAATTTCCTCCAGCAACCAAAAAGAATTTTAATTTGCTATGAACTTGAAAGAGGAAAGCAGCAAAATGTTGAGAAACAGGGAGTAAACACAGTATTTAGCTGGGGTATCCTAAGCAGTTATAAAGTTGTGAAAGCCAGCTAAAGATCCTGCTCCTGTTTGGAAAATGTCCATTGACTTCACTGACAGAACAAGTTCCAACACTGTTTTGAGAATGTGGAAGCTCAAGTACAGAAGGTGTTTTAAGTTGGGACATAAAACCAGCACCACACAGGCTCAGCTAGAAGCCACCTAGGAAACCTTAATTCCAAAGTCAGTTTCTGCGATAAAATCCAGCTCTATTTTTTGCTTCACCTTCAAAAAACTTAAAATTAAAAAAAAAAAGTCCCTTTCAAGAGCCACATCAACAAGCTGGAACCAGGAGCAAGAAAACATCCCCTCAAGGCTTTTCTTTTTCCTTCTTTGAAAGTCACAGGTTACACAAACATCACACTTATGTAATTAAAACTCAATTAAAGTTGTTGTGAAGAAGAATGCAGTGTAGCAGTAACCAGTCACAAACTAATTCAAAACTTTGGCATACGTTGCAATTACAAAAGTAGGATTGGCCTAAGTTTCACCACGGAGATAAAAAAGAAAATTCTTTCCAATAAAACACCAGGTCCACAGCACACCCAGCTCTAAATCTCCAAAATTCAAAACCTAACCCTCCAACAGCTGTGTCCAGAACATCATAAATCCCTGGAGATTGTTCTCTCTGCCCGATGAGTGGACATGGTGGTGCAGCTGCAGTGGGAACTTGGCTCCACATCTTGCCTTACAGGAGATTAGAGAAAGAAGATAAATTAACACAACTGCCCAGTTCTAGAAATCACTTATTGCTCCTCTTCCTTTAAGTCACAGATCAAATCCAGACCAGATGCCTCACTTTAAGAATAAGCAAAGGAAAATAAAAAAAAATAAATTACTGCCTATGAAATAAATTGGAAACTTGCTTCTGATGGTCTAATTCTAATCTCATTTAAGTCAATTGGTGTTTTCCCAGCAGTTTTCTCAGTAGCAGGATTAGGCTCATGGGAAAGTGGAATTGTGTCCACCACATCAGTAGGTTTTGGACCAGGGCCTCGGTGAGCAGTTGCCACATTGCCAGATGTGCCCAGCTTCCAACTCAGGCGACTCAAACATCTGCAGGACCAGCCTGGCCGCAGCACACGTCTTCCACAAGTCCAGCACACTTCCCAAACTGCCCCAAGGTGAGACTGGGACCATATAGTTACAGCCAGCCAAATGGCAGGACAACAGTTGAGGCCAAAAGACCACCTGTCCCTGGAGCCTGCAGACAGGACCATCTACAACAAGCAGCCAAAACTGCCGTCTGTGCAGCTCTTGTTTAGAGTGAGGTATTGAAATCACACAGACTGAAAGTGGGTTTTGGCATGGTATACATATATACACCAGTGCTTCTGTAAACCTCCTAGAGGAAGTTAAGGTGCTGCCTAGAAAGTTAAAAGCTAATCATGCCTAAACTTCCACTATTTAGTAGTCAAGGAGTAGTTTTTCTTGCGGGTGTTTCAGTGTTGGTGGTTGCTGCATTGGTGTATTGCATTTTTAATTTGGACCACAGTATCGTGCTGTATAGGATTCATATATTAAATATTATGTGGGGATTGTTTCTGTTTTGGGGTTGGTTTTTTTTTTTTGGTTGGTTTATTTGTTTGTTTTTTAAACATAATAACAGGATTTCTGTTGCTAGGCTCAACATCAGCTTCACTGTTTGTACATTTTTATGTAAATAGTTGTCACAAGCGGAAGAATTATTTATTTCCATCTCTGAATTCCTTTTCAATCACATCCAGGAAAGATTATTCTCGGTTCCTAAACACATTTGTTTCCTTATTTAATAAAATATTTATTAACAGTTGGCAAAAATGCATACACATTTCTGGTTCTTCTCATAGAGCAGTTGTCAGAAGCCTTTTGTACAAACTAGTAAAATAAATCATTGCAACTTTACAAAAGATATCCCAACAACACTGTGTATCTGTGTGGTTATTTTCCCCTGTATTCAAAGAACCTTTTTGGCTGGACAATATTCCATCTTGAGCCTCTGTTTTCATGTAGATCAATCTTTATGCACAGACAAGCCAGCACATGTCGCTATTTGGTGCGACTCCATCAGTCCAAATACAACAGAGAGGGAAGAATACAAAAAAAATATGAATATGTTTTGTAGTCTGCACTGCAAAGATCCATGATTGAATTATAGTGCAGCTGTCAGCAGCTGTTTCAAGGAAGCAGGGGGTAAATTAGTTCTGTTTACTGCTAACATAGTTCGGAGATTTAGTCATCCCAATAAAATTATAGAGGCACAAGAAAGGAAGAAAGAAACTCCAAAAGAACATCAGCCAAGAAGCTGACATTTTCTAATTTAGATTGTTTTAGCATATTTTAGAGATGCTGCTGGCATGAGGCTTCCTACTGTGGATACCACACCGCATTGCCATGGAGGCAGCTGAGAAAAAAATAAAGGTCTAAATCCCTGTATTAACTAAACATTATATCTTCAGGGCATAACAGCAATTTTGGGGTTCTTGTTTACTTTGAACTGTGAGCAGAGTTGCCAGGTTATGTAGCTATATTTGCTGATTCACAGGCTTAAATCATTAGCATTTTGGAGTTAAACTACCATCTTTCACAAGCAATTACAATTCATAAGCAAGTTTACTTCATGCACCGAACTGAAGCCCAGCAAAGCATCAGTGTGAAGACCTTTATTGATCTAAACTGATGCCTACTCAGCTTTTGTATGCCTGGACTCATTTTAGAAGGATGATCTTCTGTTATTTTTCAGTATGGTCCCAATTCTCTGCATTTAGACCCAGCATAAGTCAGAGGTGGTTCCAACAAGAGGAGGAAAAAAACTAAAGCAAAAAAAAAAAAAAAAAGAAAATTCAATCCTGCTTTACAGTGCCAGTCCTGCAGCTAACAGGAGCTTTACCACGAACATCAACACGTCCAGCCTTATATCATGAAATATTGGTTGGTTTCCAGCTCTGCCACAAACACACACAACTTGCTGGATGTGCTTCAGAGCAGCTTTCCCAGCCTGGGAGCCAAAGCTCCCGTTCTGAGCTGGCTGCAGCCTCCCCCTGGTCCACAGCACTACTGTGGCTTTGCCTCCTCTACTGTTCTGGAAGAGGAATTCCTGACATGAATACGTATGCTGCCATAAACTGGCAGGGCCATAAAACGCCAGAGAATCAGCTTCAAAATGGCTAGATTTATCTGAGTAATGACATTTTAAAGCACATTTAAAACATTTTATAGATCAGTTATTTTAGCTTCTTTCAGGCCAGACTCTGAGGGTGTTGTGTTTGCTTAATTGAGCTCTTTTAGATGTGTTCCAGTACTGACAATAGGATCCTTTTGTCCCTGTGCAGGAAACTGCCTCCACCACTGCCAATGTTCATATAATAAAAGATAATGATTTAAGTGAGCCTTAGTATAATTTTAAGATTTCTGATTTTTATGGAAGTGTCAGCTGTAAAGCCTAAAACCAGCCAGGGAGAGCGGAGCTCGGACAGCACTGCCAAGGAGCACAGGATTTCCTCTGCTGCTCCATTCAACCCTTTCAGCTCTGCCTGTAGCAGGAACACACACCTTCTTCTGGATAAGTAAAACCAAAAAGACTCATCTGTTGAGTTCAGAATTTGCATCCGCTGTATGTTTCCATCCAAATACTCCTCTTGCTGACTTCCACTGCTGCCATGAACACATTATTCTCTGTATTCAGCTGTGCCTTTAGAGAGCCATTCTGCCCAATTAAGCTAAAAGGAGCCTGTTTGAAGTTTTTATTTATCAGGTAATGATTGACAAGACCTTGAGGCAAAAACTAGGAGCGCTTTATACTACAGTCATTCATTACTCAAATACAAGAGCAACAGAAATGGGTTATTACAGCCACTTTGAGTTACTCTGTTTTAAATAAAAATATCTATTCCCTTTTTCTGCTTAATGAAGTAGAATTTGTATTCCTAAACCAGTAGCTCGGAAAGATCAGAAGTTCTGGATAAGATGTTTAACACACTGATTTGTTTCCTAGCATGCATGGTGGTTTTCCTAGGGTCTGCTGACCAGGCAATAGGAACAAGGGTTTTAATTTTAATGGTTTGAGAGTTACTTTGATATTGTGAGGTTTGCCACTTCGGGACAAATCTGCTGTTTTCCCCAATTAATAGAATCCTGATGTTTGAATTAATTCCATAAATGGAGACAGCACAATCTTTAAACAGCTTGAGTTTGGTCTTATATTTACATGGGAAACAGGACAAGTCATAGTCGGATTCATCAACTTCACTCTTTTTTTCCATAAGGGAAAAGCACTGGGGGAAACTAGAGGAGAAAAGGGGGCTACAGCCTCAGTCCCACAAGCCCTTGGAAAGGCAGCTTTGCACTTGTCTAATTTCTGCAGGCATGGTTAAGCATTTAACCATTTACAGGATAGGGCTTTACATAGGGCTGCTTGAATTAACCTCACCTCAAAGAATTGGCTTGCTTGTCTGCAATAAAACCCAATCCCAGGCCAGTCAGCAGTAATTTGGGGAATGGAGCATTTGTGTCTGGAATTGGGAGGGGGCGAGTGGCTGTGTTCACTGCACCATCCACGGGCTTGCCTGTAATTAAAATCATGCACTTACCCTTTCTGAACAGGAAGCCAAAGCAACTCCTGA